ACTGTACAGGCCCCAATAATATCTGAGGATATAAACTAATAAATCAACCTACAGGCACTTAAAACCTACTCTATTGCTGCTGTCTACGGCAGCTGAAGAGAAAAAGAAAGAATAACTAAGAGAAAAAACTTTATCAGGTCAGTGAACTCTGCTTCGCTCTGTTCATGATGACAGGTGGCGAGGTCCGCCTCCCGACACTCAAACACAGCATCTTCTGTGGGGCTCCTAGGAATTACATCAGTCAGTTGAATTTGGGGCGTCCTCCTCCTGCTTGTTCTCCTCATCGAAAAAGTTCTCTGCTGCTTTCGCCGAGCTGAAGCTTATGTTTTTACCCTTCCACCTCACGCGCAGCGTGGCTGGAAACGCCAGGGTGTATTTAGCGTTGCGCTCTTGTAGCTTCTTTTTCACTGCYGTGAAAGCCTTCCTCTTCTCCGCCAGTTCTTTAGTCATATCCGGAAACACTGATAGCCTGCATCCTTGCCACTCAAACCCGCGCTTCTCCTTAGCTGTCATAATCACTTTATCCCTCGCTGATTGCCTCAGGAATCGAATAAGAACCAGTCTCGGGGCTCTGTTCGGGTCGGGTAACGGTGCGAAGACCCGGTGAGCTCGTTCAATCTCGAACTCAGRGTCATCACGAACTCCAAGACTCTCAGTTAGCATCTTCCGTACACAGCTCAAAAGTGTCCCATCAGTACCGAAAGTCTCTTTCAACCCAATAACTCTCACATTATTCCTCTTACTGTGATTTTCGAGAGCTTGCATGCGGTCCAGCATGGCTTCCATTAGCTTGCTTCTCTCACCAACTGCGGTGTGCAGCCGCTCCGAAGTGTCCTCCAAGCGGGAGATGCGTGTTTCAGCCTCCGTTAGCCTTTCTTGCATTGCAGTCACCGCTGCGTTCAGTTCCGACATTGTCTGCTTTATTGTGGAGACATCAGCAGCTACGCTTTGTAGCATGTTACTCATCTTAACCACTTCCGAGAACAAATTTGTTATATTAGGAGGAGGTGTTTCCTCCCGTTCTTCCTCATGTGGAGGGCTGTTGCGGGTCGACATGCGGCCTGTACTCTTTGAGTGTTTGGTTGCGGCCATTGCAGGATTAAATTACTTTTTCCCACAAAAAAGAAGTCTACAAGCCTACACTACTTCATCACTTGCTGAGAACGGTATCAAACAAAAGCCCCTTACTACAGTATAGTTATCTAATTACATGTCGGGGACGGAGAGCTGTTAGCCAGCTGCCATCTTGTTCGCCTGTCCACGTGACTCTCCCGTATTTTGACATTTTAAATAAAATGACAGACATCATTTTTGAAGGGAAGCTTCCCCATTTAAAATTAAATGTATTTGAGCCTCCATATTTACCATAAAATGTTAGTTCACTCAGTGTTGTTTCTCTTAAATACATTTATTCCTCCTGATTTATAGAATACTCACATTAAGTGTTTTCCTGTGTAGGTAAGAGTCTGTTTAACAACCTGTTCAAATACACCAGAATGCAGGAAATGGCATTTACTGGGTTGTTCCTGCTGTGGCACCCCTGGGGGTCCCTTCCGGTGCCTTTGGCCCTGGTCMTCCTCATGTCTGCTTCAGGCCTTAGGGGTCCGATCTATGGGTCTCCACATTCACTACTAAACATTCATAAGGAGAAACCTTATGTACAAGCACGCTCAAAAGTACACACCACACCGGTGTGTGTGCTTTCATATCAACGTAACAGAGATATGAAAGCAACACGGGGAGTAARGAACAGTGTTTTCGAAAAATCAAAGTACGATCAGGTATTTCACAGTTAACAAGTGATAACAGGTTCAGAGTGGGACTCAGTTTCAGCCCTGGTGAGATTGATGTACCTTGAAGTCCAGATTTGCAGTCAGAATAGTTGTTTAGATGGAGGCTGTCAGACCCAAAAAGATGTCTGCTTCCCCAGAAAACATCAACGTTCTCAATATAGTTTACTTTATGTTGAATGCAGACAGAAGACAGCCAGGTGTTCAGACTGAGAATCCTGCTGAAGCGACCTAATCTCCTGCCACAGGTGGGAAGAGGACCAGAGACGAAAACTTGTTGAAACTGTACAACTGTGCCAAGTAGATGAATAAAATCCTGTTTTAGAATTTCAGATTGCTGTTTGGAGATGTCATCAGTACCTGCATGAATGATGAGTCTTTTTGCTTGTGGGTGTGACTTGATGATATCCGGGATTTTATCAGCTATATCAATAACGGCGGCACCTGGTAAGGATAGTTAACGAGTTCCCCTCATCCTCACATGCTTTATAATAGAATCTCCCACAAGCAGAGTGGTGGGACCCTGGTCCAGCTGATGGGACTCTGACCATCCACCTTCTGCGTGATGAGGATCTGCAGAATCTCCTCTGGACCGACGGCGCACTGAGGAGGAAGGGCCGCTTCCCGTGCCCATGAGTGGAACCCCTCCAGACCGATGGCGCACTGAGGAGCACCGAGGGCACGATGAAAAGTTAACTAGAGATTATTAGGGTATTTGTCAGGCTGCGGTCTGGGCTGCCCCTCCTGCTGGTTTATCTGGAGGCCCGCTGCTACTCGGCCCCCCAGTCGGGTGTGCGGCTGGCCGCCGGCGTGCTGGGGGTTCCCGGGGTCTGGGTCTGGGCGCTGGAGTACAGTATGTGCCGGCCTGGCCTGGTGACTGCCTGTTGGGGCTCGGGGCCTCTGAGCCTGTCGGGCTTTGGCCTGGGGGGGGGTGCGCCCTGGGAGCCCGGACCTCTGTGCCCTTTCCTGGATCTGCTTTGGTATGGCGGGTGCCGGTGGGGTCCATGAGTTTGTCGCTGCTGGCCCTGGGGGCTGTGCGTGTGGTCGCTGGGGGGACTCTCCCAGTTCTC